AAAGGAAACCCGAGGAAGTCCCACCACCCTCTGCCCTGTGAACTTACAGCTGGAAGGCTCTGTCCGTGAACCAGGAAGCTGGCTCTCACCAGACCCCCGACACTGCCACGCCCTTGGACTTCCCAGATCTTGTAGAACCGAGAGGACTACCTTTCTGTTATTGGCTGTCTGGGCTGTAGGAGTTTTCAGAGGCCCAGGTTGTTGTGATTTGTTACCACGACCACAGGAAACAAAACTCCAATGCTAAGGGTCCTCAGAACACAGAGTAGCAAAGCCTGTTAGAAGCAGGGCCGCAGAGGGTTCTCAGCCCGGCTACACATCAGAATCACCTGGATGAGTTTAAAACACACGACAAAAAGCAACGTCCAGGTCCCCTTCCGGGAAGAGTTAGGCCACAACCTGTAAGGGTGGAGGCCAAGAATCACTCCTGTCAAGGCTCCTGGGGTGTATCTGATCAGAAGGTAGGGTGCAGTTGTCACATTAGAATAAATCCCTAATATAACTGTGTTCAAGGAAGACTCTTAAGCTCCCCCCAAATATGGACACACTAGTTTGCCTGGTACCCCCTCCACGAAGCTATCCGCCAGCTTCTCAGTGAGGCCCGAGACAACCTCCCGTGAAGAATTACCAGGTCCAGGACTTCGTTTCACCGAAACCGTGTTCAGATCTGCTGTCTCAGGCTTCAGAACTCAGCCTTTATTTCCACAGCTGGAACCCACGGCCAGCGCAGCCTGTACGAGCCCTGCGTGTGCTTCCTGCCCTGTGTCCTGCCACAGCGAACCCGTGGTCCAGCTGGCTACGCGGGGCCCACAGCACAGCATGGCTCGAAAACCAGGCGCAAGGTGTGCAAGACAGACATGCTGCTCGCTTCCGACGTTAGGACGTGGTCATCAGGGCCTGCGATCAGAATCCATGTGGTTTGATCCCCCCTCACCCCAAATACTTAGGCTGGAGCTTGGGACTCAGTACACGGGGCAAAAAATGTTCAATTTGTGCCCTGGCCAGTTTGGCTCAGTGGTTAGAGCGTCGGCCTGCGGTCCGGAGAGACCCGGGTTCGGTTCCCGCTAAGGGCACGTACTTAGGTTGCAGTTTGTCCCCGGCCCTGGTTGGTCGTGCAGGTGGTGGCCATTCGATGTGTCCCTTCACGTCGATGTTTCTCTCTCTCTCTCCCTTCCTCTCTCTCCCTCCCACTCTATCTGTACAAAAAATGGAAAAATATCCTCAGGTGAGGATAAAAAAAAAAAAAAATGTTCAATTTGTTACAACCGACCCAAAGCTCTTCGACCCGGAGGCACTAAGGTAGCCGACCTCGGCAGGGAAGTGAATACAACGGTGTCGGGTCTTAACTCTTCCCACCACCAGCTCCTGGGGATCAGAGCGTGGGATCTTCCGTCAACAGCCTCAGTAGCCCGGGAGCTGCAGTCGGGGTGAATCACATTCACAGGGGAGTCTCCCCAGGAGATGCGTCACCCCCCCACCAGGCTGGGCAGCCATCTGGGAGCAGCAGCTTCCCGGGTGGGTGACTTACCACCACTCACTGGGAACCACTGGCGTGAAGGGAAAGCACTGCAGGTCCTTCACAGGGGGCCAGGCATGTTCCGTGCCAAAGGCTCAATCTAGCAAGGACCAGCCCTGCGACCCGAAGACCCCGCAGGCTTCACCCCCACTGTCAAACCCGGCTAATTTCTGAATGCCTTCACGAACTCCTTCCCGTCCTCCGGGGTTGACAGAAACTGAGAACCAAGAGAAGAACTCCGGCATCACTTTTTTTTAAAAAATAATTTTTTTCTCCTTCATAGATTTTAGAGAGGGAGAGGGAGAAATAGAAACATCGATGGGAGAGGACATCGATTGGCTGCTTCTTGCATGTCCCCCACTGGAAATTTGGCCCACAACCTGGACATGTGCCCTGACCAGGAATTGAACCGGCGACCTCTTGGTGACCGGGTTGATGCTCACTGAGCCACACCGGCCGGACCGCCTGCATCGCTTATAATGTAAGCGAAACCATCAGGCTGCTCCCGTGCTGGGAATCAAGGCTGTGCCCCACTGGGGTCCAGGCTGGCTTCCCCATCCGTAGCAGCCTCCCTAACCCGGGTGATCAACATTTCTGTCATCTTTTCTCTCATGTTATTTCTTGCCTCCTGGAATTCCATTTTTGTCTTAAGGGGCTTCATTGCTGTCTGTCTGCTGTACCCTACTTTGTAATGTAGGTGAGACTGGCCCAGGAAATTAACGTTTCAGGTCCCCACTTCTCATCATCACAGAAGTGCGAGTGGAAAACAATGAAAAACAAAGACATGATACACCGATACAGGAAAATATTTATTAAGTTCGGACGCGTGAATCGTCTCTTCTTAACAGAAAGGTAAGTCAACAAGCAGCCAATTTATAGAATCCACCACATGTCAGTGAAAGGTAACTGAGGACCTGACAAAATTACAGTGATCTGTTTTTTAAAAGTCTAACTCATCTCCTACCTCTGCAATAAAGGATAAGTGCAGTTAAAGAAGTTAGCAGGAAAAAGTGTGGCCTTCCTTCTCCACTCTGCCCATCCATCCTCCGGGAAAGCACAGGCTGCGGCTGAGCAGACTTGGCACGAGGCTTCGAGGCTGCTGCTTTTCCCCCTACATCATAACCGATTTCAAATGGTGCTAGACAAAAACAGACTCTGAACACCAGGAGAAATCGGTCAGCCTGTGTAAGAGATGGGTCCGGTGATGCTCCTGGGGTCCTGCACCTTGCAGGTCTGATACCAGCTGCATGGCACGTGCAGCTGAATGTTCCAGGACCTGGGAGCAGGCGGACAGCGCCGATGGGGACGCCACTGTTCTCTGGGTGCACAGCCCTCGCCCCTTCCCTGTTCCAAGTACTCAATCCAGCAGTGCCTGTCACCGCGCTCAAAGGCCCTGCCAACAGGTGAGTATCACCACCTCCGCCCCTGCTCAAACCCCTGTCTTCAAACACAACCCCCTTCCCACACAGTTACCCCCAAACCCAACCGATATACTCAAGGGTGTGCTCTGCTTTTCAAGTTTGCTTCTGTCTTGTCGCGGCTCAGGTGGCAGGAGGAGGGGCCATTCCCCCGAGCAGCAGCTCCTCCTCCGCTGGCCCTTGGCTGTGCTGCAATTCTTACTCCTAAAACACTGATTTCAAATGGTGCTAGATACAAAGATGGAAAAATCTAAGCCACCATGTGAAACCAGCTTCCAGAAGAAGAGGATCTCACTGAAGAAAAAAGGGAGATGCGCCCAGAAGCCCCGGCCTCGGTCCCCAGGAGATGTCTTCTGGCAGTTCCGCTCGTGGTGGCACGTAAGATCACCGTCCACCGGACTGGCAGAGGGGACTGCTCCTCAGGCCGCTCAAGGAGCACACGAGTCAGGCCGACGCTTCACAGAGACGCAGCAGGACAAAATCCACGGACTCTGCATTAACGGGTTTGATTCCACTAGTCCCTACACACCGTCACACACAGGATGAGATAAAATAGCCAACGCTGTTATTAACACACATTTCTACCTCCATGCCGCCCTGCACTGGTGAGCTAGACGCAGTGTGCAAAAGGCTTTCTGATACTGTCTCACCTCATCAGGAAACCACCCGTGTCTGCCTGGGAGGCTCTGGCTGCTACACAAGGTGACTTTCACCTGGGCCATGGCAACCCTTCCATGTGCCCTCCTCAGGAAGAACACGGGCTGCACCTTCCCAAACGTAAGCGTCACAACAGTGGCACTCTTACCCTCTGGTGTGACACAGAAAACGGGTGTCCTAAAACTGTATTAAATAGATAACCCTCTAACACAGGTTTCGTGCTGTGCTGTTTTCAAAACTTGCCTGAAAATAAGATTTGCAAACTGTGTTTCAGTTAGATTTCCCATCTCCTCAGTGCACCATCTCCTTTGGCTGCACTTCCCTGAGACCACAACCAAGAGGAGGAGGAGGCAGGTCGAAGCGGCGTCCCTCAGGTTCCCCACCAATCCTGTAGGCCTCTACAGAGAGGCTCATCTTTTTTATGGCTCCTGAAATAATGGGGTGTCCTGCTCAGGGAAGAGGAGGAGGTAACGTTTGAACCCGAGCTGTACTTTTTAACCCTCACAACCATCATCTGAAGCAGGTGCTATTCCCGTTTTTTGCAGAAGCAACGTCTCCTTAACGTGGTTCAATCATATGTCCACAGTCCCAGGACTAATAAACGATTCGATCCCAGATCTAACCCTAAAGTCTGTTCCCGCCCCTCTGCTGCCGGCTCCATAGCGGTGCCTCATCTCCTTCCGCTGCTGAACTTAACTGCGAGCAAGATGGGGCGATCAGGGAGCGGGGGATGGGGAGTGGGGGGGTTCCCAGGCACTGTCTCCACGTGGAAGTGGAAGGTCACTGACGCACAGCGCGTCAGCCCGGGAGGCAGGCGCACCCCGTTCTGCAAGGGGCCGGCGGCTGGGCAGCTTGCTTGGCTCTCCTACCCTGCTGGCGCCTTTGCTGGGGCCCAGAGCAGGGCTGCGCGGTGGGGAGGAGCCTCCCCATACTGCTGTGAAGGCTCCGGAGTGACTGACACCAGCACCAGGCGCCGCAGCCCGCGGGGCTCTGCAAGGCCTCACGCAGCTGGGGAGCTGGGGGGCTCTGCCCGGCTCTGAGTGAGGACACTTGCAGTCAACAGCGGTTAACTGTTGGGCTTTTAAGGGCAGGAGTGAGTGTTCAATGACAGTCATCACCACGGGGTCAGAATCTTATAAAATGAAGAGATCTACGTTGGGCAATTCTCAGCTTTTGTGCTTTTCACTTCTGCCCAACTCCTCTTCCTTAGCAACTTCCGGTTGCCATCTCCAGAGAACCCTTTCCTGAGATGTCACAAAGTCACCCTTCAGTGAACCGGACAGCACCCTCCCTCTGCAGACACCGTCCCTTCTTTCTGGAACATTCTCCAGCCGCTCTCCCGCTGCTACCACCTGTCAACGCCCCCCTCCCCCAAAGCCCCTCCCCCACAAATCCAGGTGGTGCTCCTTCAGATCTCATTCTCAGGGGAGGTCCCCCCGCCCCACCTCAGCCCAGCTTTCAGCTAAGTCACCACCTCCCAGCATCTACTTCTGACCCTTCAGAACACACTTGTGTCATCTGATCATCGGGGTGATTAATTAATGTCTCTCCGGCTACCCAGGAGACGCCAGCCAGGAGTTCAGAGGGGGCTGCACCCAGCACCGAGGACCTAGGGGACACCAGCCAGAGTGTGGGCTCCAACTTCTCAGTCCCACAATCCTCTCAGTTCTCTGGAAGAAGAGATAAAAAAAGAAGTCATTAACAATGCATCACTGTGAACACTCTGAAAGAGGAAGAGGGGAGAGAGAGTAATCTTAGTACCCGAACCTTCTGCCCTTCCAATCCTGCTGGATCAAACGGTGTGTTCAGGTCTCAACTTTCCCCCCGGAACCAGCCTCTCTCCCGAGCCTGCTGAGCAGTGACTCACCGGAAATGAGCGGCTGGTTTTGTGCCCAAGTGGGATGTCGTGGAGGTTTGCTGAGGGCTGCAGGGGGCCTGCTCGCCCGGCACCCGCTGAGCACCGGGGTCTGTGAGAAGGTGGCCCAGGAACGCTCCACCTGCTGAGGGCTCTGCTGTCACCTGCAGGTGGCAGGGCCCTCCCACCTTGGCCTAATGGCCCCAAACACACTGGTCAGGGGACAGGGAAGGAAAGCGCCCACCCAGAGGAGCGGGCTTGTCACTCGGGAGGTGCCACGGTGCAGAAAGGGAGCCACTGCAGCCCAGGGCACTTCTGCACCCACATTCTGTGTGCAGGGCTGTCCACCCCACCGCGCCCGGAACACTCCTCGGCCTGGCAGAGACCTGAGCGTGGAGGAAAGGTCACCACCAGTGAATCAGAACCCAGTGGCTGTACTTCCTGCTCGGCCCCGACTGCGACAGGTCCCTGGCCTGGGCCCCAGAGGGTTCCTCTGACCGCTGGCGCAGATGGGTCGCCGCGTGTTCCCATGCTCTGAAGGCTCGGCGGGAACCTTGGGCCAGAGAAGCGGCGACAGCGTGCGGCCGAAGCCGAGCGACCCGCAGAGGCCACGCTTTGTCTGAAGGCACGCAAACTCAGGCGCGTTACGAAACAACTGTTCAGGCCAGACGGAAACATCTGAGGGCCCAGCACGACTCATGGCCGTGGGTTCAGGACAGTCCGGAGAGCTCCTACTTCGGCCCCAAGAGCTCCTACTTCATTCTGTGAGGGGGGCTGTGTCTTTCAAAGTCCTAAAAATCCTATGCCCAGCATGGCGCCCCCAAAATAACATGGGCGGAAAATGGGAAGGGGAGGCATCCTCGTATATGAAATCCATAACCAAATCCACGGAACAAACAGAGATTCACCCCCAGGGACCTAATGCTGCTGATCTGTTCTGTGCAGCCACGATGTGTTCAAACCCTGAACGCTGAGAAGGTTCTTGGAGGCAGCAGCTTCTCCCTCCCAACAGGGCTGGGTGCTGAGTCACAGCTACTTACATGACTGACGCAAGTTCCAGCCAGCGCGGGGGAGGGGTGCCGGAGGCAGAGCCCAGCTCAGGCTTCTTCCTGCCACTGGGAATGCTGGTTTCGGGGCTCCTGGCGTGAGGAAGAGTTGAGTCATCTTGGTGAGAGAGGGGCCTGGGGAAGGCCCTTCAGAAAAAGGGGAACGGTCTGCCCTCCAGACAGCCCCAGACCATTGTATGTATGAACTGGGAGGCCCGGCCCAGCTTCCTGTCACTCCCTGTGCTAGCCCGGGCCCTGTGTCCTGGGCATTTCATCTCGAGCTGTCGGGTGAGGCCTCTGCCAACTAGCTGTGGTTAATGAATCAGAGGAAAGGGCAATAAAATGAAGAGCATGGGTCTGGGGGCCTGGGGTGAGGCGGCCATGGAGATGGTTCTCTCTTTCGGGCAGCCTGTCCCCCGGAGGAGGGCTCGGCACCCAGGGACCCCCACACTTCCCAGGCCTCAGATCCAAGGAAGGAAGAACGTGCTCCAGACCCCTGGCGCCTCTGAGATGCCACTGAGGAGGCAGAGTAGGGCCCTGTGTCAGCAATTCCGTCCGCCCCGCCCCCCCAGGCCAGATATGGAACCAGGCTCCCAGGCAGCAGCTTTCCACAAAGGTGGGCTCTCTGTCCCTCCCTTGACACCCCCAGCAAGAACCTGGGTCTGGAAATCTCCCACTCAGTACAGGGCTGGAGGGGAAGATGCTCCATGGCTACCTTGCCTTGGGGTGCAGCGGGGTGTGGGCAGCAGCAGGAGGCAGTGGGGAGCACAGGGAAGGAGGGGGCAGGGGTGAGGGCCAGAGCAGGCTGTCTCCATGTCCCCAGAGAAAGGCTCAGCTGGGGCCCAGGAGGACGGCGCAGCTCCGAGCCAGTGCCTTCACGGGGCAAGGGAGCAGCCTGCCCCCCGGCACACAAACAGCGCCCACCCCAGGTGCCAGCTCCAAACCAACGCGGGTCCAAAGGAAAATCACCAGATAACCTCTGGGACCCAGTAAAGATGGACTAAGAAGCGAGACTTCAGTCTCAGGTAAAATCTAACTGGAGGTCAAGGGAGCGAGGCCCCAGGGCCCAGCTTCCCCACCCCCGGCAGAGGAGCTGCAGACAGTGTCCCGTGGGCGCCCCACTCACAGGACCTCAGGCCTGCCCGGGGAGAAGCGGTCCTGTCTCCTAGAGGCCCTCCCTCCGCAAGCCCAGCCCGGCAGCACCGCCGCCCTGCTCCTGAAGGGACAGCAGCCTCTCCACACATCGGGCATCCTCCCCGGACCAGCTCCCAGGAGCAAGGCTCTGGCCAGCCAGCCGGCCGGCGGCACCAGGAAGCCCCGGGCATACCCACTAACCTCTGAGTGGCGGCTCTACCCAGTACCTGGGCACACACCTGGCTGAGCACATGGACAGGGGCACACCCTGGGACATGGTTCCACTTCCCTAGTTGGAGGGAGGGAGGCTGGGCAGACAGAGGGTAGGTCCAGAGTCCAAAGCCAACTCGGAGCACCTTCCGCTCCTGCTTCCCCTGAAGCTGGCCAGGCTGGTAGCTGTGCCCACATTGCTAGGCCAGCGTCATTCTGTTATCACGGCCTCTGTCTGCCAGTCTCAGAACCTGGAACAGTGAGTGGTGGGAGGAGGCAGGAGAAGGGGAGGGAGGGGAGGGAGCAACGGGAGGAGAGGGTGGGAGGGGTGGAGGGAGGGGTGGGGGTGGAGGAGGAAGTTTCACAGTCTAGTGCATTCCCATCAGATCAGAGAACCGGGGAACACATACAACTTCCCCTTTTCAAGAGCTCCTCTGACCCCACTTTTGTTTCGGTTCCTTCCTCTGGACTGAGGATGGCATGGCTGGTGGGCTAGGCAGGGGCAGCGCCCAGGTACCCAGCCAACTGGGCTCCTGCCCGGCTCCATCGAGGCCTGGCAGCCTCCCTCGCTGTTACCCAGCATGCCCTTCTCCTTGTCAGGGAGGCCTCGCCCTCTTGTTTTCCAAGTTTTATAACAGTATTGTTTGTTGTCCAGCAGATTAAATTCTTTTGGAGACTGGGGGGGGGGGGGCGGTTTGAGGGAGAGCGAGGAGAAAAAAGAGAGAGGGAGAAAAAATACAAGTAACCTCCATTAGGGTGAAAAAGTAAATGAGTTCCTTCCTGAACAGAGTTCACCTGTGTCGAGAGGCCGATGGCCAGAAGCCTATGTTCCCTTCCTCTCTGGCCCTGTCCCCTCCTCACCGAACGGGGGCACATGTGGTCTCAGACTTTCAAGGCTGTTACTCAGAGTTCAAGCTGAAAAGAAGAAACAGCTAAAGTGTTTGGGGGGTTCATGCTTGAGCACCCCCTACCCCAAAGAGGTGGCCTGCCGTGGGCTGAGCTGGTCCTTGCAAAGAACCCCTGGATTCTCGTCTCCTCGGGTTGGGGTGACCAGGTGGGCACGGGGAGGGCCTATCAGCATCCACCCCACCACAGAGATGGTTCATCTCTGCAGTGAGCTTGTGGTCTGTTCATATTCAAAAATAAAATAATACACTGAATTATGTCAGAGACACGAAAAGATCTGTAATCACCCCCCCACACACACACCAAATAATAACATAAATGCATGGAAAATACTCCTGCTTACTTAAGGAATGAGTGAGAGTGAAACAGGAAAGAAAGAAGACAGAAAGTCAGTATAAAATAAGCACAATCTTACAGACAGGAGGGCCCACTGGAATGTCCCCAACCTGTGAGGCCCTTCGAAGCTCCCCCTGCAGGTGTAATGACAAAAGGACCTATGGTTCTCCCTATCTAACACGACCCCCATTCAGCCACCATCTGGCTGAGTTCAGACTTCGGGTTCCCTCTGAATAGTAAGCCCGCTGGAACACACACCTGTGCCTTCAGCACAGCGGTAATGCCAGCCAGGTCCCCGAGCTGGGGCCCTGCCCGAGATCCTCCTCTTCTACCTCCCACCTTTCCCCAGCAAACCCTGTCGGCCCGCCTCCTGCCCCAGCCCCACATCCTCAGGGCCTCACGAAGGTCCCAAGGGCTGCAGGGCCTCAGGGTGGTGGAGGTGGTCTTACACAGACGGCTGAGAGCAGCCCAGGGCTCTCTCCTGACAGGGAGGACAGGAACAGGCCTTTGTCCTTTTGTCACTTGCAGAAGTCCCAGCCCCACAGGGCCAGTTCCAGAGGGGAACCAGTGAAGCTCCGGCCAGATGCTCACTCGCCCTCGAAGACCCGAGGGTGCCGTCCCTGCGCTCACTCTGGATCCCAACACCCACACCGCATGGTCCCAGGCAGCCTCACAGTCCCAGAGACCCGGGGCTGGGAAGACATCCAGTCTCCCCCTCAGACCGAGAGGCCCCATTGTTCCTTGGGAGCCCTCAGCAAAGGGGGTGCCACCGTTCTCCCTGTCGCCTAGCCGAATCCTCCTCCCGGTGCAGGTCAGCCATCCTTCCCCTCCTCCAGGGGAACAGAAAGAACTGGGATCAAGGGGACAAACCGCCACATGTGACTTTCTAGAAGGTTCTATCCACCAGAGCAAACCCCTGGTGGATTCCCCATCACAGGGCTTCTCTCCAGGCTGAGGCTGGACTCAGGGGCCACAGCTGGACAGACACACGCACGTTGCCCCGTCCAATCCTAAGCCTTCTTCCAGGAACACCTGCAGATCAAGCCTGAACCACCATGGCTGAATAAGGTGAATAAAGACAAACGCTTCTCTTCCCCTCATACAAGCTCTGGGTCCGTCCAACTGAAGACCACTCACAGGGCCGCGGCCAGGACATGCCGCCCCTGCCCCGCCTCGGCCCCTGCATAGAGTGGGGTGTCGTGCTCTCTATTCAGGGAGCACGGACGCCCGAGCGTTCTCTGACCTGCCTTCCTCCCCACGGGTAGGTCTGCCTCTTCAGGTCAGCGGTGAAGCGAACACTCACGGCCGAAGCCAGCGTGTCTGGTGTCTCCCCTCTCATTGCACGACTCTTCCAGCAGGCACCGTGCGGTAACCAGCCAACAGGGAACACTCAGCGCGTGTGGGTGCCGCGCAGAGCTCTGGGCCACCGCACAAGCCTGCGGAAAACGTCTCAGAGGTCCCACGACACGGCCTCCTTGCTAAGAGACCGCGAGGTCGGAACAGGCCTGCACGCGCAACCACCAAGTGCCACACAGCTGTGTCAGATGGCGCGGGGAATGGCTGGCTTCCCAGCAGAGAAGGGCCAGCTGGTTTTCACACGGGCTCCGAGGAGCTGAGAGAATCAGACAGGAGAGCCCAGCTATTCTGAGAAGGGACCTACAGCCTCCAGAGATCAAGTTAACTGCCGAGACCACTCCCCGCCCCTGCCCCTGTCCCACTGGTCAGTGGGAAGAACACAACTAGAACCCAAGGAAATGGCAACTGGAGTCAAGGGACCTGGGTGGGGGGTCCACATTAAGCAGGTACCAGCAATTAGACCTTGGCAGGGCTCTCTGGCTCAGTTTCATCAACTCCAGGGATTACGCCACCTACCCTCGCAGGGGTGTGTGGGGACCAAATGAGCTGGAAAATGTGGAAGGAGCTGTGAGCATCACATGGTGCGTGTGAGACCCTGGCTGCTATCAGCTCCTCTTCTGCCGGAGTCCCAGCCCCGATCCCTGTTCACTCCATCATTCTGGGGAGAGGGTAGTGGGCTCAGAGTGATGAAGCCCAGAGCAGTGTCGAGTAAACAGGGAGTATCTTGGAGAAATGTAGCTATTTTTAAAGCTCTGCATTCTGGCCCGGCTCATGAGGCTCAGTGGTTTAGTGTCAAGTCATGTACCAAGAGGTCGCTGATTCGATTCCCGGGCAGGGCACATGCCCAGGTTGTGGGCCCGATCCCCAGTCGGGGGCATGCAGGAGGTGGCCAATCGATGTTTCTATCTCCCTCTCTCTCTAAAATCAATAAAGAAAAAAAAAAAGCTCTGCATTCTGGTGAGTGGGCTGCACAGTGTGCCGTCAGCCCCGGGCTCCTGCCCACGCAGCCTGAGGAACAGTGGACACTGGGGACAGGGGCTACCCTGCAGAAGCTAGGCCAGGGTCCCAGCCCTCCTGGCCCCAGGCGGGCCTTGCACAACAGCCTGGAGGACCTGGCTTTCCTGCATGCGTGTTATTTTCGTTACCTTTTAACTAGTGACCCAAGATTAAAACGCCAAAATGGAGCTGGTGGCTCTGAGATATTTTTGTTTTTGTTTTCTTCTTCTCTCTTTTTAAATAGAAGGGCTTAAACAACCACACGAGAACAGAGGCTAAATATAAAGGAACGTTCCCGACAGCAAGAGGCACAGACCCTGAAGAGACGTCTCAGGGAAGGTACAGCACAGGACGCCCAGGACCTGCAGTCCCGGGTTCTCTCCAGGACTCGGTGCCAGAAAGGACAGTATACTTTTCCTAGAGCGCAGCCCCCACTGCTGGCCTGGCTCTAGGCACGCCTCTTGTCACCTGGAGAACCCTCAAAAATCACCTTCACATAACCTCCAGCCCCTTCCCACTTACTTCTGGGCCAGGGGGTCCTTTGAAAATTGCCTCCATCCACCTGCCCTAATGAACAGCAACAGTGTGTCTTCTGGAAGCAGGATTGCAGCGGATCACGGGTCTTCAAGCTCCCTCCCCTCTTCTGTAACTCAGGCCTCATTTTCCTCGCCCCGACCTTCCGGCTAAGAATCACCTCCGCGAACACCCAGGGAGCTCCCGTGTCCGAGTTGCCAGGAACCTCCAAAAAGATTCTTTTTCAACCTTCTCATTTTCCAGGTAATGAAAGTGAGTCCCAAAGAGGCCAAGTAGGTGAGTTTTCACCCAGGGAGCCCAGGCCTGCTGAGGCCCACCTTCCCTGAGCCCGACCACCAGGACCCCTGCTGCACCCTGCAACACCAGACCCCGGCAGCAGGTGGCAGTCTTGGTGGTTGAGGGAGGCAGGTATGACCGTGGGGCGAGGAGGGAAGCAGCACTCACGTGGCCTGACTCATGTGGGCTGGCGACTGATCCACTTCTCCATAAACAAGTCCTGCCGTGGAGCTGCACGCACTGGAAATATCCCTCCCACGTCTCTGGCCACAACCTGCCTCAGTCTCTCAAGACACAACGTGTGTCCAAGCATCTACAACACAAGGCGACTTCTCGTCCCTGACCCCCCACCTGCCCCTGCCCTATCGCGACAATCTCGGGATCACGTGTGCTGGCAGGAGAGGCTGGGCACTGAGTGCTGCCTCCTCCGGGCACATACTTTACCAGTGACTCGACAGAGCCTTAATCTGAGTGTTCCTCTGTGCTGTGTGGACAAGAAGGGCATGGTGACCAGGCTGAGGTAGGACACCAGCTGGCACCTGCTGAGGGTAGGAGACGAAGGCCAAGAGCAGTCAGGGCCAGTGGAAAAAAACCCAGTCTGCTGGGGACCAAAGGCCTGACGCCTACGGCCACCTCGGTCCAGAGCCACTGCAAGCTCCTCCGAGCTACGCGGACCTTGGATGATATTTCTAGGTGTTAGAAAAGAGAGGGGTTGGCATCTCTGTCGAGTCTGACTCCGGAGGCCCGATCACTGCGGCTTCCCCGTGTGGCCGAGGTCCTCCAGGCTCCTGAATTCCCTCCCTGACCAACATCTGGAACCCCCTTCTTATGCATGGGTGTCCTCCTTTTCCACAATGCCTGCTTCCTATGTCTTCTCATTCTGTTTGTTGCTGTCTATGGCCTCTCCCACCCTGGAACGTGGCTGAGCTCTGTCCCCCAGCACCTAAAGCAGTCCCTGGCACAAGGCGGGGGCTGGGCCCAGATCTGTGGAAGGAACGTGTTTGCAGGCGCTGCCCCGCCTGTCCACGGATACCCCAGAGAACCTTCCTGTGCCCTGCCGCCCCCAGGGGGCGTGGCATAGCCGACCCGGGGACTGTGAAGTCCCCTGGGGCATCCTGCCTTTCGCTCTGTTTCACATTGGTTCTCCTGGCTGCCTCGCCTCCGAGGGTCTTAGCTCAGAGCAAACAGTGGTGTTGGAAGTGCCTGGGTTTAAATCGCAATGACCCCGCTGACCAAGTATGTGACCTTGGTTAAGTCATTTGATAATCACAGCTTCTTCCACCCTCAAAGGGAAGTCACACCTCCTTCGCATGGCTGGTCCGACGGTGAAATCAGGTGAGCAGAGGGGGCTCATAACGAAGGTTCGTTTCCCTTTCCCTGGTCTCAACCAGGAGCCCTGGCGCCCATCTCGGGCTTCAGGCCTCATGATGGATCCCGATCTGGGCTCCACGCACGCACACCCACTCTGGGCCACGCAGGCAGCCACAGCCGACACCGGATACACCCTCCTGCACCCTCCTGGCCTCAATCTTGTGGTCAGGCAATGCACAGCCGTCTCCCCACATCTTTCTCCATCCTCTTCCCCCACTCCCCCCCTGCCCGGCCCAGCACGACGGTATCAGGTTCTGCACAGCCTCGGGGCCTGGAGGTGCCCCCTGGCCCTCTCAGCCCACAAGCAGCTCCCGTGCAAGGAGCCAGCGAGAAACCAAGCCCCGTCTCTGCTTTGCTCACAGACACAGGTCCCAGGAAAGAGAAGAGAGAGGAGGGCCTCGCGTGCACTGCCGGCTTGTGGAAGGGCAGCGTGTCTTACATATCTCACAGGCAGGCACCGTGCCCAAAGAAGTGACCGGCACAAGGTACAGATCCTCTCTAAGGCCGTGGCTGCTGCCGCAGGGGCACTGGTGCCCGGGGACGGAGCCAAGACATGCATTAAACAATTCACAGCCCTGACCAGACCAGAATTCAATGGAATCGACAAGGTGCTGACCAATCAGGTCCCCGGGCAGGGCCCCGCCCCCCACGCCTGCCGGCCAAGCCACACCACCACAGGTCTAGCGCCACCAGCTCTGTTAACCTCTGCTGGACCCAGATGGAAAGGCCCCACCCTGCCTCCTGGCTTCCAGACCACAAGGATCCAAAGGTCAAGAAAGAAGTGCCAGATATGCCCAGCTGCCCCCCTGCTCGGGAGGTGTCAACTGTTCAGCCAGCCTGACTTGCGACACATAACGCCCTGTGTCGTATCAGTAGAAGCCAGGCTGGTGAGCGGGGAGGAACGAACCAGGTGAGGAACACAAATAGGAATGTCAACAGGGAAGCTCCAGTCCCAATTCCGCAACCATCAGAAGTGACAGGAACAACTGTGTCACAAGGAGCAAAAACAACGGCCCCTCAGCTTCCCGTCCAGGTCGTCCCAGTCTGGACAAAGGCAGGGCTATGAATGAGCGGCGGTCACCCAGAGCCAGGCCCAGGGATGCACCGCACAGGCGAGCGCGGAGGCTCTGGCGCACGGCCAGCAGCTCCATCTGGCTCCGGCCCCACAGCCAGCGCTGGCCATGCTCGGCCGGCGCATCTTGAGGGACTTGGCCTGCTCCTCTTCATCTCCCCAGCTGCACCAAAGTTGATCCCTCCTCTTTATTCATGTTCCAGAGCCAACACCCCTCGCCATCCCTTGCTACATTAGTGCTGCGGGGGGGAGGGGGGGGCGCTGAGACATGTCAAATTCCTTGAAGGAAGAGACACGGACTCGTCCAAACAGCCCTGGATTCCTCAGTCGGCGAGGATCTCAGGCTGCTCAGAGCCAATTCCCAGATTCATCTCAGATGGGAAGAGGCCTGAAACCCCGTGTGGCAGAACTGGCTCGACTTCTCCGGAGAGCGTTGGGAAGGCAGCGGGGTGCGGAAGAGACAGAAGCAGAGCGGTGGGATCCCACAGGTGCCTCCTGACATTAGCCAAGAGCATCATAAAATGACATAGCACCCCTCCTTTTATCTTTAAACCCCAGACAAATCTGTTCTCGGCTCATTCCAACCAGCCCTATCGGCCCAGGACGGTGCAGGAATCCACCTGTCGGAGAGGTTTCTCGGTGACATGGCAAGAGCCTCGAGTCTGCTTTCCGAATCGTCTCCGTAATGCGACAGACCTCCCCAGTTTTGCAGGCCGCCGTCATTTTTAATCACCGTTGCTATTATCATCAAGTGAGGCAGAGAAAAATCATTTCTACATCAACTGCCTACAGATGCTTTGCAATGGCTTATTGGTCCAGGAATTTTTGTTTTTTAAGGCGAAGGCAATAATAGCCTAGAGGAAGAAAGTGATTCACTACAAAAAAAATAGGGAAAGAGCCCCAACGTCTACTGCCCAGACCACAGTCTGAAGCCTAAACTACAGCCCTAGACGAGGGCCAGCAAGGCTAAAGGTGTCTGAAGGAAGAGAGGACATCCCCTGAGATGACACAGGGAAGAGGACACCCCAGGCCCAGGCAGGTTCCCCAGACCTGACGGGTTAAACCCAGAATCTCAGGCCAGATGTTAGGGGCCAAGGACAGTGCCCAGTCAGTGACCTGGAGGCCCATCTGCTCTGCCAACTACCACTCCCAGCACCCTCCCCAGCTCTCTCCCAACATCCTCGCGGCCCGGTCACTTCGGCTGGCCACCCTTCCTCAGTATCTGCTGGTTACTAACCCCATTCACAGAAAAACCAGCAGGAAGAGAATAAAGGAAGAGCAATTGTGTGGGAGACTGTGAGTTGAGGCATTTACGGATTCCTCAGTGAATGAGGAAAATGGTCTCCATGGGAAAAGAAGGGGTTTGGGGAAAACGAGAAAGGGGCAGCCCACACCTGACTTACCTGGGAGGCAGGGCAGGGATTACACGGTATTTTCCATGCTGCATCTGGTTTCCATGAAGCAGCCTGGTGATGAGTCACTGACAAGACCGGTCATCTGTCACATCAATCAGCACTCGGTCACAGACCCGCGGAGTGCTGGCTGAGCAGTGCCTATGAGGGAGAAGGCAGATATCCAGCCCACTCTGCATAGACCACCCAGCATGACATGCTCAGTCACGAGCCAGCTCTCCTGAGGACAGCTGGCACCTCTGCCTAGTAAAGGCACATTTTCAGAAACGCCAAAGGGGGCTGAGGGCAGGGAGCCCACAAAGCTCCCGGATGGATACTGGAGCTCAGTCTGCCCTCATACATCCTAAAGAAAATAAAGAAAGGAGGAGGATGGGGAGAAGGAAGGCAGGGAAGACAAGAGGTCCAAAAGAAGGAAAAGGGAGGTCAGAAGACATCCTTAGGCAAAGCAAGGCAAACAGGAAACCCGGAAGACAGAGCGGAGGCTGGACTGTGCCACGGGGCACACTGTGCCTTCAGCCACGGGTCGCACTGTGCCTTCAGCCACATGGTGCGCCCAGTCCCTCCTGTTCCCCATCCAGAGCCCAAATCCATCGAGGTTGTCAGCCCCTCCCACATCAGTGCCCTCATCCATATGACCTTTGTGTCTATCAGCATCTGATCTGGGGGAAAGAAAGCTTGGCAGCCCTGAATTAGACACAGGCGTGTGTGAGCACGTGCACACACACGTGCACGCACACACACACACACACACACCCCTCCCAGAATGAAAGGCCCCTCAGAGATGTCTCACTCTCTAGGTTCTGATTCTCTGATAGAAGTACTCCTCTCCCACGGGGGAGGGCAGACACGTCCGATAAGAATTGCTTAGCAGAATGCTATATATAGTCTAGGTTCCAACCGGCCTAGAGATTTGGAGCTAGAACTTGGCAGAGAACCATGCTAGATGCTGGCAAGGCCCAGCCTCCCTCAGCCAGCCAACTGAGCCTCACCTCCCTGTTGGGGGCAGTGAGGGCACACAGGGTCCTGCCATTTGCCCATTAACACTCTGCACTGAGCGACACGGGCTTTTGGCTCTATTTTAGGGAAAAGCAACTTCTCCTGAATGTGAGGGGGCTGAACACCAAGTTCTAGCATCTCTACAGCTCTCTGGCAGCATGAGAAAAACAATCTAGTCCTCTCTTCTGGAGGACCAAGGGTGGGGGTGTGCAGGGACAGAATGGAGAAGGCACAGCAGCCGGCTGGGGTCAATAAACATCTATCCACTTCCGATGTTTGAAGGAACAAAAGAATACAGACAAATACTTACTGCACAGAGCCAGGCTGCCAGGCACCTCTCTCTCCCTTTTTTTTGGTTCCCAATAAATGCAAAGGGGCATACATTATCTCACAGTATGACGGCTGTCTTCTGCATACCAGCACCCTCCTCAGCTGGGCGGAGTCTCCAAGGGGTTGTCACTTACTCAGGGAGTTAAACTCCTCTGAGTTCTCTGTGGGAAAGAAGCAAAAGGAAGATACGTGGGCTCAGTTCACAGGGCCAACTGCAAGCAATTCATTGTGCAGGCTACCATCAGGGTCCCCGCTGGGTTATGCCGTGGCCCCGGGAGCAGGCCCTCAGCTGCTGCTCACCGTCCAGAAGCATGACGGAAGCATGACACTGCTCAGCCCATCGCCCTGGGGAAGACCAGTACCCGTGGGCACGGGGTGCTGTCATGGAGAGCCTGTCCATCAGCTCGTTCAGAAAACAACCCCAAGGGGCGACAGAGCTGTCTGAAGTGCAGAACTGGGGCTCTCATCATACACACAGCGTTTGGACAAAGAAATAGGAGACTCAAAGGATCCAACACCCACATATATATAATGTTTTTTAGGTCAAGTTGCTCTGTATTCAGGCTCAAAGAGACATGACACACAGGAGCTGGTGCAGCCTGCATGCTCTGGGTGGGGACGGCTGGCTCCATCCCTTGCCCTGGCCAACTGTCCGCTGTGACCTCGGTCAGGTCTCCCTGCTCCCTCAGGCTCCCAAGGGCCCAAAGCCACTCCTACCAGAGATCCCCAGTGAGTCAGGCCAGGAGGTCTCTGTGGAAAGGAGGAGGTGCTCAGCCACAAATGTTAGTAGCATCATCTATGGGAATGCGTGAGACTGAAAAATGGAACACAGGGAAAGGAGGCAGGGAGCTCCCGGGCCAGGCTGACCCTCATCCCCACCCACAAGTTGTTTGCGCCTCTGCCCTGGGACACTGGAGGGAGAAGAGAGAAAGTAAAGCCAGATGCTGGGGATCATGGTTTGGCCACAATTCAGTGGCAGTGGCGCTCCATGTTCTCTCCTGCTCCCAAGAAGGCACGGTTGGGCGGGGCCTGGCAGGTGGGCAGGGCCTGGGGGAATGTCACATGCATTTGGCGCAATGCTGCAGATTCAAGAAACGCCTAGAACCTGAGCCGCCATGATACACACGCATCGGCAGGAACTCAAGGTCCACCATTTCGCCTACGAAGGACGTGAGAGCCCTGGCCGGTTTGGCTCAGTGGTTAGAGCGTCAGCCTGCGGACCAGAGAGTCCCGGGTTCAGTTCCCGTTAGGGGCACGTACCAAAAAAAAAAAAAAGAAGGACATGAGGACGATGAAGGGGAGAAGACAAGCTTTGATTTGGGACTACAGGAAGGCGGAGGCTGAAGCAGGCTGCCCAAGAACCGGGTTCCAGCTTAAGGCCGGAGATGTGTACCCACCATCATTACACAGTGCCAGCCGAGGAGAGCACTTGCCCATGGGGTCCCGGCGCGCCCCTGCTAGGCCCTCCCCTACCCTAAGGAGAAACCTGCCTCTGTCCAAGGCAATGAGCCCCAGTGAGGAATCCCCAAGGGCCCTGGTAAGATGTCTCTCGTTTGGGACTAGAGAGAAGCTCAAGAAGCAACCCTGTTTGCCAAGTTCATCTAAAAATACAAACAGCTGCATTTTCTTTTCAGATTCTAAAATTCCAGGGTCCACAGAATTCGAATCACCTGGTGTCTCCCCACCCCACCCCTATATTCAACAGTGGGCTTCTGGTTGCCAAGCCCTTGCTGAAAATGACCCTAGCCTGGGGGTCAGCTCAGAGCCCCAACAAGCTGTTTCTGCTTTCATGTTGACAGAATGTCCTGGCCACTCAGCTGAGCGCTCCATCTTCCTGCTCCCAACACACTGAGTCATCATCCAGAGAGGAAAAAAACAACAAAGCAGCCGTCACCAGGGTCCCCACTGCCGTCGGCTGACGACTCGCGGGGCTGTCGTCACTCTCCGCTCTGCAGCCCCAGAACTGGTGACGAGGGGCTGCAGGGGGCCCCGCTCCCCTCCACCGATGCACAGTGTCAGGAAGCAGGCTGCCACTGCTGTGAGGAGAGAAGGGAAACCAACCTGGCATTAAAAGGCTCCCAGGAAGGCACCCGGTTAACCCTCAGCCTGCCACCACCAGGCCTCCCGGCCCCCTCTGTTCCCATGGCGTCTTTCTGATGCAGGAGTTAGAGGGTATTGACTGTAGGTGGGGCAAAGACACCACCTGGCAGGTTTCAGGTGCGTGCTGCCCGGTGACCTCCTCCCCTGCCCCTGCTTCTGATGCCAGTGAAGGCACACAAGCTCCCCTTCCCCCCATTTCTCCTCGAGCCCGGTCAACTGCTGTGTTCCCTCCTGAAAAACAACTGGGCAGGGGGAAGGGAGACACACTTTCTGTTGGGAACCTATTTGCGTGGAAAAATAGTAGGCATTTCTGTGTCGTCACAGTGGCTCCATTTCACTGACTGAGGACATTAAGACTTAGAAAGATGAAATGATTTGTCTCCCACCGCCCAGCGAAGACACGGCAGCGTCGGATGCAAGCCTGCGTCTGTCCAAGTGCAGGGTCCTGCTCCCTGCCTCCCACGGTCTCCACTCTGCACTGGGTTACGGACCTTATTTCTGCTCGGAAGATACCATAACCCACCCGACCTCCACCTCCTCTTCCAAGAGGAAAGCCACCAGGATAACTGAAGTCTGTCAATCCGTCCATTCTAGCCACACAAGAAGTTAGCATCAGGAGTGAAACTGGCCACCAAGGGACAGTAAAAGTTAAGGAGGCAGCAGCGAGGGTGGTATGGGACAGCTAAGTGTCCCAGACCTTGAGTGCAAAAACATCGGCCACCCAAACTCCCACAGTGCATCAGGAATTACAAAATTCCTTAAATAGACACGTTTTGGGGCTCTACCTCGTTAAGAGGCATTTTGCAGACACGGAGGCTTGAGAGAGAAAAAAACGCAAAGGCTTTGAGAGACCAGGGTTCTGACCATGATCAGAATACTTACCAGACACGGAACTCTCCTCGCTGGGCTGTGGTAACAAATAAATAAAATCGCCACTTGGCAGAGCGTGACGTGGCACCTGGCGGACAGAGAGCACCCACTGGGCATGTGTGAGCTCACAATCTAATAGGCAGCATAAGACTCATCCACAAAAGGCAATAACAACGGAAGGAGCATAAAGGAGGGATGAAGCCCACGGGGGTTCGGCCGAAGGGGACGGGGTGGTTCTGCGGACCCCTGCTTGGGAAGTGAAGTCAGCAGGAGAGGTCCAGGGAGGGCACTGCTGCGGGTGGGTGGCCTTGGGAAATGCCACTCGTGGAAACAGAGGTGGGCAAGGCAGGAAAAGGAAGCCACCTGGTTCTGTTAGAATACATGGTCCACCCAGGGAAACTCGGAGGAGCAAGACTGCCCCGGAACTCAGGCTAGTGGCAGACAGGCCTCGGCAGCAAGCGAGGGGAAGGGCTCTTCCTCTGGAAATGGTGAGAAACCATTTTAAATCCTGGGCAGGGCAGACAAGATGGCCGGAGGACGAGGGGCAGAGGACGGGCAGAGGGAGCCACAGGCCTGGCCATAGCTGGAACCTCGGCACTGGCAGGGGGCGTGAGCGCCAACTGGGAGGAAACACCACACCATGGCAGGGCCATCAGGACAGACAGACAGACCCTGGACCCCACCCCCAGCCCCGTGGGGAGACTGCAGGAAGCAGACCTTTTGGGGGAACACCAACCACAGATCCGACACGTCTGAGATGAGCTGCCACGTCTCTGCCTCCACTCTCCCCTCAAAATTCAGCTTTTCACCAACTGCTGTAAGACTCAGCCCAGGGCAGGAGACCCAGGCCTTGGGTTGGCAGTGCCCATGCTCTGGCAAAGCCGGGCCCCACGGGGTGAAACCCTCAGCCAGGACTGGGTCCGAGGGTGGGACTGGGCAGTCCTGCCCGTGGGGCCACCCTCACTGCCGCAGTCACTCGGTGCCGCCTGGCCCCCCCTCCGGCGGAGCCCCCGCCCCCCGCCCACTCTGCGGAACCGGCACAGCAGGACCAGAAAAACCAACGCTACCTTGTCAGAGACCAGCAGAAACACCTCCAAAATGGCAGCCTTGTGACCAAAGGGGTCCAAAAACATTATCAACCCACCTAGGGAAAGGAGAGCTAGTGACAAGGGCCGTCCACTGGGCCCCCAAACCCTTCCTCACTCTCCCAACGGCCACATCTTTCCCTTCAGAAACTTCCCCTCAAAAGCCAGAAAGCACAAGAGGGAAATAAGGGCATCGCCCATCCCCCCCGAGAGGTCCTGGGGGCCATAGGTGACACCGGGCATTCGGAAGGACGTTCTACGTTCACACCCCAACATGGGACACAGCAGTCCCTCCTCCTGCCTTCCAACCTAGCTCCTGCCCCAACCAGAGGACAGCCAGCCCTCCGGAGACTGAGGCCGTTCGTGGCTCCGCTGTAAGACCCTCCCCGGCTCCGAGGGCCCGCGAGCCAGGAGGCAGGGTGGCAGGAGGGCCGAGTGGGCGCAGCCGTGCCCTCCGTTATGTAATAAGGGCGGTGCTGTCCTAGGCCGGAGACCCAGGGCGCATTGCGCTCCCAGATGCGCAGTCATGGGCGGGGGCCACTGCGCATGGCGGCGGGGGCTCGGAAGCCCCTCCCCACCAAGGTGAGACCTGCACCCAGGACGAGATGGGGAGCCGGAACCCTGATTTCTCCACGTCCCCTGCCCCCCAACCAGAGAAACAGCCTGCTGTCCTAGTTTTGCTCTCACTCTCGTCACTCCCCGAATGACAAGCCTTTCTAACCTCCAAACCTCTCAAGGCCCAGTGGCTCGCCCTGAAACCCCACCAAATACGCAGTTTCTGAGCAATGTCCGAGGGTCGGTCCCGTCCTCACCTTTCCAGGCACCAGGGAGCAGCAGCTTCCAGAAGGCAGGTCCTTCCCATCCTGGGCTCAGCTCTGGACAGCCCCAGATGTCAATGCAAATCTCTGGTCCCCCGGGAGCAGCCCAGAGGCAGCAGGAAGCCCGGGGTGGTGGCGACGGCAGCAGCTCTGCCCTACCTTGCCCATGCGTTTCCAGGGCAGCCAAGAATTATTTTGCCGCAACACTGAGGTGTGGCTGATTCCAAAATTCCCTTTTCTGACACCAAACTAAAGGACAAATATTTTCTTCCAGTGTGGCCAACCCTC